CTCTTCCGACCCGTCTCTGACTGCTGGAAACTGTCCATTAACTGGATGGATACGACCATTTCACCTGACACCTGCCTAGCGATGGTGTGAAAAGCAACTTCATCAAATTGCTCCCCATCAGGAACCCAAAAGCTGACATCATGCACGTAGGAAGGTGGATAGAGAGAAAAACTCTTGAAAAGCCTTAACTCTCCTCCAGGAAATTGACGGAGGAATCGTGTGTCTGATGTCCACAGCATTCGCCAGTCAGATATTCCACAGATCAACATGGCTAGGAGGTCAAGATTCAGTGAAGCAAAGACAACAACCAACTCACTGCTTACCAGTTCAGTCCTTATAATTCCCACGCAGGAGCCCTTCTCACAGGAGCCTGAAGCATCTACCTCCATACACATGAAGTACCGAATTCTACTAAGCTGAGATTCAAAAGCAGCAAAGTCATTTAGCTGAGTTGTTTCAAAGTTTGTTGCTTCCTGCAGATTGATATTCAGTTGAAAGCCAGAAACAGTCTGGTGAAGAGAACATATGCTGGTTTTAATGCTGTTCATCAACATCTGGATACAGCTGTTCTCTGTACCCCTGTTAACAGCACATACAAAAACCACCTCATGAAAAACAGGCATGGAGTAAGGAGTGATAAGACACTTCCTGAAAACTGGGCCAGAAAGAACATGAAGTGTCCCTGGGAGAAAGGCTCCTCTTTGTATTATTGCCTGAGCATAAGGTAGAAGGGAAGGTCTAAGATAATACTGTTTTGAAACGTGGCAACCCTCTTGTACATTCACCCTGCCATTCTTATCTGTGTCCCTGCAAAGATCAACCTGGGAAAATAGAACTGCATTTGCCAGTCCACTAGACGTTTCTTCAGTGCCTGGAGTCTCCTCTGGGCTCAAAATGATCCAGAAGATATTTGAGTGACAAACACCATTGAGGTGACCTTGGAGCAGAGAAAGGCAGTAGTCAACGTTTTTTAACGGAAAGGCTTGGCTGAGGTCTGCAGTGAGTTTCTCCTTTACTGTCCGTACTGGATGATTTGAATTTAGTTCTAGGAAACCCCTGTGAAAAATAAAAGTGCAAATTATAGACATCACTAAACAGACTTCCTTGAAATCCTTCCTTTGATCATAATTTGACTGCAGCAATTTACCCAAAACAATCTCAGATATTAAGCTGGTTTCTAGTAACTACCTGAACAAGCCAAGTCTTTCATCAAAGGTGTTGCAATGGCTAACGTGTTTTCAGGACGGTGCAGTTTGTCTCCAGGTTACAATCAAGAATTAACTGCACCTTCACTGGTAAAAAAGGAATGGGACTTAACAGTCAGCATCACCATTTCCACTCAGCACAGGCATTGCCAAACTACAGAAATGAATCAAATCATGCTAGCCCTGGAGAGTCTCCGAAGTATGCAGCAGTTCACCTAAGAGGTTAGCAATTTTTATCCTAGCTAGCCTTAGTATTGTGGTATTAGCTGACACCAAGTCACCTCCTGATTTTCTTCCACGGCACAGTAGAACAGATTAAAGTTTTCATCGTTATTTGTGCGTTCAAGTATACAGCAACTTGGGCTCAACCATAAAGTTTCTTTTTGTTCTGTAAACTTATTTTTAAGTAGGCCAACATCAAGCAGACTTGAAGAAGAAATGAAACAGAAAAAAAAGGGAAAGGAGTGAAAGTGACAAAATGCCATTTTATCTGACACCTTTGCTAGTCATTCCCACTGAGAGCAGGAGTGCATATTATTGCCAAACAGAAGCTAATTATAAAACTTACCTATTAATTTTATCCACAAGTACCTGTGGTACTTGGAAAGAAACTTTCTGGCTTTCCAGTTCTATCTTGCAGGTCATAGGCTTGAAACAGGGAAGTGGCATGCTTCGTGTGAAAATGTGGTTTAAAGCACCCTCTATACAGAAAGATTTATCTTGACTCCTGACAACGCACAAAAGCAGAGCAAAGCCACTGATCATTTCCTATATTTAATGTGTCACAAGTAAGCATTACACAGAAAACCGTTTAACACTAACATGCCTCTTGTTGAATCCCAGGTCTCGTTACAGGGTGACAAAAATGCAACACTACCACATTTTTACTGGGTAGGTGGTCCAACATTGGAACAAGTTGCACAGAAAGGTCATGCAGTCTCCATCCCTGGGGACTGAATGCAGATCTGAGCAACTTGCTCTAGCTGGCTCTGCTTTGAGCTGTGGGGTAGGGCTAGATGATTGCCAGAGGCCCCTGCCAACAACAACCATTCTGTGACTCTGTGATTATCTGCTAAGCAGGTACACATATGGCAGTCCTGCTGGCTTTAGGCCAAAATTGATATTTGTTCTGAAATGGACCGGTTTGACCTTTAAAATCCTAAGATAATCTTATTTTTTAGAGGGTACTTTGGCAAGAAGCATGCATTTTATCTTGGCTATTCTGCTTAGACTTGAAAAAGAACTCTAGCTATTTTAAGGAAAATTAAAGGGAGTTCCTCTCTCCAACAAACAAGGCATTAAAAGATCATACTATTGCTAGGCATTATAAGAGCACAAATATCAACTTTTCAGTTTTGCCACACGATGGTTACCTGTAGCCTGTACACTTATATCCATGGATAGTCTCTGCTTTAAAAGGATGAACGTTACTCAAGATAAATCCAGCCCCTGCTGCCACAGCCACTATTTGCCAGCTGTTGTGCCATTCTCTCCTTGGTTGATCAGCAGGTGTCCCACCCTGTCCATTGCAGAGAGCCACATGGACCTCTCCCTCCTCTGTCAGCACTTCTGCGGAGCTGGAAGGAAAGCCAGGCAACAAGAAAAATCCTGCTAGCACACCCAGAAATTTTACAGTGCCAGAAAAATACCTTAACACAGCTAGAAATCTGTATCACAGCAGTCAATTAGCACAGAACCACTTCTGGTTTACTCACCTATGGAAAAAGCGGGCAAGAAGCTCTCTATTCTTCACCACCCCAGCCTTTCTCCCACAGTGAGGGAAGTTGAAATAAATACAATCAAATTCTCTTTGTTCTGGTAAAAAATAGTCCTTCAGCTTGGCACAGTCCACAGAAAACACAACTTCAGCTCCTTCAAAAAGTAAACAAAACCCAAGGCTTTGGTGTTTATCATTACAGAAAATTTTAAAGAAAGGTAGCAATTAAAGTTCTCTGGTCCATTTTTAAGCATATCAGAGCAGCAGCTGCCAGGCATCTTCCCACTCACGTGCATCAGGAAAACCAGAAAACCTAGGCTCCCTTTGCTCTCTTGCAGAGACTTCTGCTAACTGGCTGCTCATTTCGGAGCTATTTCAGTCTGATTAGATCTTAGGGCTTTTGACTTAGCCTCTTGGACAACTCCAGCTCCTAGTGGCCTGTGTCCTCCTGAGACGCCCGGGGCGGTGGAAGGCTCTAACGCGCCAGGACAGCTCCCGCGGAGGCAGGGCAGCGCCAGGTCCCTGATGGAAGGCAGGCATGCCGCTCTAGAGCCTTGCCGCGACAGCCCCGGCCCGGCCCCCGACGTCGCTTTGCCCGAGGGCCCCCACTACC